TGTGAAAATAATATCTATTCCAAAGACAAACCATTGTCGTACTGACTCATATAGTCACATTTCACCTGCAGTAACCTCTCAGGTTACTTCAGGTCAGGTCCTAATTGATATCAGTATACAGCACATGTTCCTTCACAGCCCCCCAGGCCTTTGTTTTGTTAGAAGCAAAAGATGTTTGTTAGATGCTTCAGCATTTAACACAGCAAAATGTAGCTAATTATAATAATGAGCAGTGTTGAGTTACAACTACTGTATATAAGCTACTGATATCATGACCTTCTGACACAGATAAACAACAGTCTCTGCTTAACAAAATTTGTCAGAAAATTTTGAGCTTTTTTCTTTTCTTTCCTTTTATTTTATTTTTGCTGTTTATTTTTATTTGTTTAAGATTCATTATTTTTGCACTCATCAGCTGAATGCTGCCTGCTAGCCTGGTGAATTTTGCTTTTAACTGTGACATTGTGTGATGACATTTGGTTGGGGAGAGGATTCTAACAATCCATGTTATTGTCAGTGCAATGCCACCTGTTGGGAATGTAATGTTATGTGGTCGCCTGTAACATGAGGGATTTGTGGGGGAAAGCACAGCGTCCACCGGTTGGATTTACCAACCTTGGAGCTACTTGAAAGGAAATGAAGTTTCCACTGCTTGGTGGGACATAACTGTAAGTTAAAAAACCCCCACACATGTTGCATGGGAGCGGCTGTGGCTCAGGTAGTAGAGCGGGTCGTCTCCCAACCGATTTCTATGCTTCTCCAGTCCACATGTCTAAGTGTTCCTGAGCAAGACGCTGAATCCCTAGTTGCTCCTGGTGATATCACTGGTGTGTGACTGTGTGAACGTCTTTGAGTGTGAATTGGTGAATGGTCAAATAGTGTGAAAGTGCTCTGAATGAGCTACAATGCATAGCAAAGCGCTATACAAATATAAGGCCATTTACCATGTTACTGTATTGGTTCTGTAGAGAGAACTGTCATGAGGCTGGAGAAGTTACTATGTCTGCATTAAGCCAGTTAAAATAAAGGGGTTTGATTTATTTGATTTTGATTTGATTTATTTATTCTTTCAAGCATATAAAACAGTTGATATAACAACACCCATTTTTACACACAATCCAATATCAATTTGCTTATACCTAGTACATGCTTGAATGGAGTAGGAAGAAGTCAGACTTATCCAGTCCTACCCCATGACATCATCTTACCATCATTGGTTTGCAAGCAGTATCTCTACATAAATAATTCTCTTCTACACCACACAAGTAATATACTAAAAAAATTATAACAGAGTGTTAACATTCTTACATAATTACATTCTTAAATAATTATCTTCTACACCACACAAGTAATATACTAAAGAATT